GTGAAAAGCTATCTGTTGTGCGCACCGTAAAAAAATAAGAAAATTGTAATGTTCCCTTAATGCCACCGTTGATACTACCTTGTTTTTGCTAAGAATTATTTCTAGTGCCATAAATCAATTTTATTAAAACTTTAAGCAGTAGTTATACAAGTTCAAATCCTCGGAATTCTGACCGCGCAGTTTAAAAAGAATTTCATTTCATTCAATCAATTTTTACCAATTCTTTTGCAAAAAAAATCACTTCTTTTCTTTTCAAATTACATGCGAAAAAAATTATTATTATAATTACCGGCGTTCATTTTTTAAAGGTCAATACCTACTAAATGTTTAAATGTATAATAACATGTATATTAATACAATGTATGATAATGTAAGATCCGAACAGTCCCACAATGAGTGATTCGCATGCAAAACACAAAATTGTTAAAAATTTCCGTAAAATTTTTAATGAAACATATAATATATAAAAATAAAATGTAAAAAAAGGTTTCATTATATTCGAACCTTTCAACCTTCACTTGAACTGACGCCTAGTTAGGCCCCAAGTGTTACACAGTTAGGGTTCAACATTGACAAACAATAAATCAGATAATACTTTTAGAAAACTAAATCGGATATTGCTGCGTTAACAATGGGGAATTATCTCACAATCGTGCCGTTTTTGAATCAAACAAATTTAATAGCGTTATGTCAGCTTATTCAAGAGTCTTTTTCAAATAGTCCCAATCTGTTGGGGGAAGTACTGGGGAAAATGGGAAATTTTGATGAGTTTTAGCTGACTGTAGTTTTAACTACTGTTTAAACATGGTCTTAAATTTTTGCTTCGCGCCATTTAATAGTATTTCGCCCATAGAGTTAAAATCTTTAAATAGAACTCATGACATTTGACATCTCTTCATATGAAATAGCCATCAAATTGGTGTTGGTTGTGGCAGTTCACTTAGTACATAAAAGGACAAAACACCAGACGAGAGCTGTAAAAATCAGGAATTTCAACGCTTCTTTCATTGTTTTTATTAAATATTTTGGGAAAGAATTTGTTGTTTCATGTCTTGATTATTTGAATTATTTAACTTAACTTTTGCATGATTTTACAAATTTTGTTTTTCTTCTTTTTCTTTTATAATTCTTTTCTGCTGCCGAATCAATTATTGAGCTACGAACGAATTGTTAAATTGGTTTTCCCTACAGTTGAGTTTTTTACTGTAACTGTACTGTTACTGTAGTGTGTGTGTTGTGTTGTGTGATGTGTTGTGCGCGCGCCGCGTGTGTGTGTGTGGGTGTGTGTGTGTTTTCTTTTTACTTTCAGGCTAATTTTAAGAAGGTCATATTCTAACTTCCTCAAAAACTTTATAATCCTTATTATTTAAAATTTATTCTTCGTCTTATGTGGGCATTAAAACGGGTTGCCTAGCGGTACCCTATTACTGTAGAGTGGGGGGAATGCCCTTCAACGGGAGAGTAAATTAGGGAAAAAATTAAGAAACGTACAAGGACATTATTATTTATCAAAAAATATGTATATACTTGAGATAAACTGTTTGGATTCAAAACCATTTTTTTTTTAAAACTAAGCAGTGTCATCTCAGGGGGTTGGGTGTGGGAGATTTTTTTTATAGGCAGGAAACTATTATTCCCCTTAAAATGGGGAATGGGTCTTATTTCCGACCTCAATTTGGACCCCTTACAAGCATTTGATTTTTTTCGTTCTCTGATTTGAATCATACAAATACATGCATATAAGGTAACCGAAATATGGTAACAAATTATTGCCCTAGATTAAGGTGGGTCCATCCAAAGGGTCAGTTGTAATGAAAGTAGAAATTATTATATATTCTTTTAAGTATATTTATAAAACTGCTGCATGACCTAGGATTTTCATTTCTGGCCTTTTTGTCAGACTTGTAATCCATTGGAACGCATACTCATTGTTTAACAAAAGCAGCCAATTTCGGAAAAACGTCAGCTAATCTGTGATTGCCTTCTTTATGTCCGTAAAAATATATGCACACTAGATTTTCCTTGAGAACATATTCACTATTACCATGTCATAAAAGCATGTCATAATTTGACAAATTAAGTCTCACCGTCATGTAAATTGTTTGAAAGGAAAAATGTTAGTTCTCGGTCAGTATTGTAGATGAACTACTTTTGTAAATTGATCAATTACTTGCATTAAAAATAGTAACTAATCGAACTGAAATCAATTCTGTATTATAAACCAACTTTGAGAGCTTGCTTGACTGTTCAACATTGCTTATCATGATTCACTTTTAGGAACGATAGTTGTCTGTCATATTCGCATAAATACTAGGACTGTAGTACTGTAGTAGGTCAGTATCAGTAGTAGCCAACTTTTGCAATTTTACTACAAGTATTTTACTACTGTATATTCATAAGGATATAAAATACAAGTATATATTACAGGTTTTATATCAAGCTGTACCCGTTTGACATAAAATATATGTGGTATTATGTTTTCATTGTTTATATAAGGTAGCTGTGACACCATGGTTAACCCAAAGTAAATGGTTAGTGTTCAGGTAAAATTAAAATAACTTTACATGTTGTCATATGTTTTCAAATTCATAATAAACGACACCCGAGTAATAAATAACATCCGTGACCTATAGGAATATCTATTAATACCCGTCGGAAAATATCGGTAATATTCAATCTATATTCAAAAAAGTGTGGCAGTCTTTATATTTTTGGCAGTTTTATATTTTATCCTTACCATTTGTGTTTATCAATTATTGTTCAATTGTCATAAAAATATCCAATCTTTTGAAATAAATAACTTATTGATCCCAGCTTCGCCCTAAAAAGAAGAGTAAGCTATAATGCCACTTTAATGTGCGGGTATTATTCAGGGCCTTTTACACTGTCTCTTCACAATTCCAAAATGCCGGCTTCACAACTTTCTTAATAAGATGTTTGTTTTATTTCAAATCTATTCTGTAGTCTTCACGTTTACACCACATGTGCATTATTTACTTTTTAATTTGAAATTGTCTAACAATTGTTCTCAGGTAAGCAATTTATGCCATGATGACCCATTTCGTTTATTTCAGTACAAATATTTAGACGAACGCATATCCAAACAAATGGATAAAATCTGTTGTCTAGTGTTATAGAATTCAAAATGACATTGTGTACATTATTGTGTGTCTGTTATGTTTTTACATCACCTACATAGTTAGATGGTAAGGGCTTTTTGAGGCCATTGTCCCTTTCCATTGAATGAAAAAGGCTTCATGTGGCAGCTATGTCTCGTTTCTAAGTCAGTACTGGTAGTAAAATTCTGACCCTTTCGATTATATAAACAAATAAGTAGAACAGAACATATAACTAAATAAATGGGCATTTATTATACCCCCACAAACGAAGTTTAGGGGGGGTATATAGGAGTCAGCTTGTCGGTCGGTCGGTTGGTCGGTCGGTCGGTCCGTCCGTCGGTCGGTCCACATCATGGTTTCCGGACGATAACTAGAGTTTGGAATGAGGTATTGTAATCAAACTTTGTGTATAGCATCCTTATGTGGAAACTCCGGTTGGTATTGCATTTGGAACCCCTAGGGTCAAGGTCAAGGTCACCGTTACTAAAAATAGAAAAATGGTTTCCGGACAATAACTAGAGTTAGGAATGAGATATTGTTATCAAACTTGGTGTATAGCAAGCTTATATGAAGACCTGGGTTGGTATTGCATTTGGGCCCCCTGGGGTCAAGGTCAAGGTCACCATTACTAAAAATAGAAAAATGGTTTCCGGACAATAACTTGACTTAGGAATGAGATATTGTTTTCAAACTTGGTGTATAGCAAGCTTATATGAAGACCTGGGTTGGTATTGCATTTGGACCACCTGGGGTCAAGGTCACTGTTACTAAAAATAGAAAAATGGTTTCTGGACAATAACTAGAGTTAGGAATGAGATATTGTTTTCAAACTTGGCGTATAGCAAGCTTATATGAAGACCTGGGTTGGTATTGCATTTGGGCCCCCTGGGGTCAAGGTCAAGGTCACCGTTACTAAAAATAGAAAAATGGTTTCCAGACAATAACTTGACTTAGGAATGAGATACTGTAATCAAACTTGGTGTATAGCAAGCTTATACGAAGACCTGGCTTGGTATTGCATTTGGACCCCCTGGGGTCAAGGTCAAGGTCACTGTTACTAAAAATAGAAAAATGGTTTCCAGACAATAACTAGAGTTAGGAATGAGATATTGTTATCAAACTTGGCGTATATCAAGCTTATATAAAAACCTGGGTTGGTATTGCATTTGGGCCCCCTTGGGTCAATGTCAAGGTCACCGTTACTAAAAATAGAAAAATGGTTTCCAGACAATAACTTGACTTAGGAATGAGATACTGTAATCAAACTTGGTGTGTAGCAAGCTTATATGAAGACCTGGGTTGGTATTGCATTAGGACCCCCTGGGGTCAAGGTCAAGGTCACTGTTACTAAAAATAGAAAAATGGTTTCCGGACAATAACTAGAGTTAGGAATGAGATATTGTTATCAAACTTGGCATATTTCAAGCTTACATGAAAACCTGGGTTGATATTGCATTTGGGCCCCCTGGGGTCAAGGTCAAGGTCACCGTAAGGAAAAATAGAAAATGGTTTTCAGACAATAACTAGAGTTAGGAATGAGATATTGTAATCTAATTTGGTGTAAAGGAAGCTTATATGAAGACCTTGGTTGGTATTGCATTTTGACCCCCTAGGGTCAAGGTCACTGTTAACAGTGTTACTAAAAATAGAAAAATGGTTTCTGGACAATAACTAGAGTTAGGAATAAAATATTGTTATCAAACTTGGTGTATAGCAAGCTTATTTTGAGACCCCAGTTGCGATTACAATTAATTGAAATATTTCTTTGTACACAGTTGATAGTTTGTGTTCAAATTTTTCTTCAGACTACGTTTTTTTCAAAAAGTCGCTGGTGGGGGTATTAATCACCTTCAGTGATAGGTCTAGTTTATTAAGTACACATTTGGAATTTGTGTAACATTGTGATATTCATATTGATATTTATTATATAAATTATTTGGAAAAGTACATAGAAGTTTAAAGTTTAACTATAATCTGTTAATATTTAGTATATATTTCTGTGTTATTAACAGTTTAAATTTCATTTTTCAGAGCTCAAAGATGGTTTGATTGAATTCTACAAGACAAGACACAGTAAAGTTTTCCTGTCGCCCCTTTTCGAAGAAAATGACACGCCTTTGGCTTCTTTCTACATAAGACCTGAATTGACACATGTCAGGTCATTATTGGAGATATTTAAAACTGGAAATCAAGCTAACCGAGAAATACATGTAATTGCTGATGCTGGTCTCGGAAAAACTGCATTTTCAAACTATCTTGCGATCACGTGGTGTCAAGCTCATTTTCCAGATGAAGACATTACTCAATCATTTAAAAAGGACGATATAGACTGTATACAGGGATTTGATTTCTTATTTTTGGTCTTACTGCGAGATTCTAATGATTTATGTTCTATAGATGATCTCATATTTAAAAATATTGTTTCAAATTTGGGTCTAGAAGAAAAGCCTTCAGAGGATTTTCTCCTTAAAATTTTGAAAAATGAGAAATGCCTCGTTATTCTTGATGGACTAGATGAATGGATCCACCCCGAAAAGGAATGTCACAGATCGCCGAAATCAATCCCCCATAGGAATGACCGAGAAAAGTGTACAATACTGACCACTACGCGACCATGGAAATTAGGAGTTTTGAACCTAAATTCGTGTCAAATAGGAAAAAAGGTAGAACTTACAAAACTAAGTTACGACTCAGCAGTTACACTTACAGAAAGGATATTACAAAGATTGAAATCTCACCCGAATAAAGGTGCATTACAACGTGATGTCACAGAGTTCATATCAGGAATCAAAAGCAGAGAAAACGATGAACTTACTTCTGTGCCTCTACTTTTGATATATACAATTTGTTTATGGTGTGACGGTGTTCAAATAGGTAATTCAAAATGTGAACTCTATATAAACATAGTAGAGCTGCTCTTATCAAGAACGATTCAGAAGCATGGAGATCTCCAACAATTTTGTGTCATTTCTGATGATAGTGATATCCCAGAATGCCTGGCTGAATATGAAAACAGTACGAAATACTATCCACTCCTGACGTGTTTAGGTAAATTGGCCTATAATACGTTAATCAATAAAACAAGAGAAAACACGCTCGTATTTGATGGATCAGTTGCTAGAAAATATTTCACACCAGACGAGATGAAATTCATCCTTCACTCAGGAATGTTGTCAGAAAGTACAACAAAAACACTAACAAAAAAGTTTAGTAAAGTGTCATTTTCCCACAAAACAGTGCAGGAATTCTTTGCCGCCATATTTATAAGTTCTCAAAGTGACGCTCAGAAAACTGTTGTAGAAAAATGTAGAAATGTTCAAGATATTCTGGACATGTCAAAAATTTGTGAATTTATAAGTGGAATGAATGCTGACCGGATGTGTGAAATATCAAATGATTTGATGTCTGTGATAAATGAAGACGAGAAAACACGCCACTATAGAACTAGGACAGGTCTCGAGGACAGGTACAATAATCCATTGTATAACATACAGAAAATGTTCATGTCGTGTTTACAAGAAATGCCTGAAAGTGAAAATATTCAATTATGTTTACAAGATTTCTTCATTGACGGGCGCACCAAGCACAGTAAGCTGTTACAACGTTTATTAAAACAAAATAAAACCAACATAAAATCACTTAATATAGACATCAGCCGTACTTCCAGCAGTTTACGTGAAATTATAGATTTATTCTCTCTCACAAATCTCAGTCATATACAGAAACTTTACTATAATGGTGACTGGAAGGAGGCTGAGACACCCCGGATATTGTTTCCCAGTTTACAGTGCGTTACTTTGCGGTATGGTACATGGACAAATGATGAAGAAAATCTGAGTGAAAATTTAGCGCGAGTACAAAACTTACAATATTTACATATTGAACAGTTCACGTTATCTCACAAAATACTGGAAACATTTTACAATTTTATCTCCGCTCAAAAATCAATGAAAGAGTTAACATTGGTGGGGTTATACTGTAAAGAACACAAGTACCGCCGCCATGATTGTCAGAGATTGAACTTGGACTTGTCTCAACATTCAACTCTATCAGAGTTACACTTGTTTGATTTACCTGGGAGACTACAATTAAATATATCAACACCGTCATTAGTTAATGTTACGTTGTGGGACATCAATCTAGATGATGAAAGTTCATTGTTACTGTCACGTGACATGTTGAATATTGAACGTGTGAAGTTGGAGTATATAGAAATGTCTGCAGAAAGTTTACAGAACTTTATTATCGTGCTGAAAAATCTGCCGCAGTCAGTTACAGTACAGATGGGATACATTACACCGGAAACAGAATATAGACGGGTTAGAGAAAATATTCGGAGTTCACAAACTTTTCATGTGATACAAGGCGACGACTGGCGGTGTGGGATTGAGTTCAAAACAATATAACCAAGTAAAGAATAAACAAAGGAAAAACATTGTAAAATAAACTAATGAAATAACTTCAATGATTTTAATTATAAAAACAATTTAAATATGGACACTTAAAAAACAAAATGGCGGTTTCTTCTATGTTATACATGTACTGTATAGTTTGGTCATTTAATTCACAAACATTTATTTCTGTTTAAAGTTTAATTAAGTGACAGTTGTTTATAAATAAATAAATAAAAACATTTTAAGAGGAGAAATAATTCAAGGAATTTTTTGTTTACCGGAACTTAATGGATAACTTGGAATAAGGATTTGGAAATATTTTACAGGTAAGAGATTTTATATTGAATTTTTTACTTTTTTTTATATATTATTTCATTTTACACACCTAAGTATTAAAATAGATTATTCTTATTGAATTATATATCTATAATAAGATATTTTATTTAAATTAAATAAAAACACTTTATATTATAATAAAAAATTCTACTTTTAACATTTTACCATAATTTTTTTATTTTATAGTTAGAATAAAACTTAGTTAATAAAGACACATGAATATGTATGAACAATTGTTAAAAAGCTACCCCCCCCCCCAATCTGTAGACAGGTGGAGGTAACTCTATTAAGCATTTTAACAGAATTATGTCCCTTTTTTTGACTTAGAATTTATGCTTAAGTTTGCGTACCACCTCAAATATTTTCAAAGTCCATTGACATATGGCTTTGTTACTTTGCACACTTATTCACCATCATGCCCCCCAACATGTAGACAGGAGGAGGTAACTCTATTAAGCATTTTGCCAGAATTATGTCCCTTTTTTACTTAGAATTTATGCTTAATTATTAATAAGTTTGAGTTACCACCTCAAATATTTTCAAAGTCCATTGACATATGGCTTTGTTACTTTGCACACTTATTCACCATCATGCCCCCAACATGTAGACAGGAGGAGGTAACTCTATTAAGCATTTTAACAGAATTATGTCCCTTTTTTGACTTAGAATTTATGCTTAAGTTTGCGTACCACCTCAAATATTTTCAAAGTCCATTGACATATGGCTTTGTTACTTTGCACACTTATTCACCATCATGCCCCCCAACATGTAGACAGGAGGAGGTAACTCTATTAAGCATTTTGACAGAATTATGTCCCTTTTTTGACTTAGAATTTATGCTTAAGTTTGCGTACCACCTCAAATATTTTCAAAGTCCATTGACATATGGCTTTGTTACTTTGCACACTTATTCACCATCATGCCCCCCCCCCAACATGTAGACAGGAGGAGGTAACTCTATTAAGCATTTTGAGAGAATTATGTCCCTTTTTACTTAGAATTTATGCTTAATTATTAATAAGTTTGAGTTACCACCTCAATATTTTCAAAGTCCATTGACATATGGCTTTGTTACTTTGCACACTTATTCACCATCATGCCCCCAACATGTAGACAGGAGGAGGTAACTCTTTTAAGCATTTTGACAGACTTATGTCCCTTTTTGACTTAGAATTTATGCTTAAGTTTGCATATTACCTCAAATATTTTCAAAGTCCATGGACATATGGCTTTGTTACTTTGCACACTTATTCACCATCATGCCCCCAACAGGTAGACAGGAGGAGATAACTCTATCAAGCATTTTGACAGAATTATGTCCATTTTTTACTTAGAATTTATGCTTAATTATTAATAAGTTTGAGTTACCACCTCAATATTTTCAAAGTCCATTGACATATGGCTTTGTTACTTTGCACACTTATTCACCATCATGCCCCCAACATGTAGACAGGAGGAGATAACTCTATCAAGCATTTTGACAGAATTATGTCCATTTTTTACTTAGAATTTATGCTTAATTATTAATAAGTTTGAGTTACCACCTCAATATTTTCAAAGTCCATTGACATATGGCTTTGTTACTTTGCACACTTATTCACCATCATGCCCCCAACATGTAGACAGGAGGAGGTAACTCTATCAAGCATTTTGACAGAATTATGTCCATTTTTTACTTAGAATTTATGCTTAATTATTAATAAGTTTGAGTACCACCTCAATATTTTCAAAGTCCATTGACATATGGCTTTGTTACTTTGCACACTTATTCACCATCATGCCCCCAACATGTAGACAGGAGGAGGTAACTCTATTAAGCATTTTGACAGAATTATGTCCCTTTTTTACTTAGAATTTATGCTTAAGTTTGAGTACCACCTCAAATATTTTCAAAGTCCATTGACATATGGCTTTGTTACTTTGCACACTTATTCACCATCATGCACCAAACATGTAGACAGGAGGAGGTAAATCTATTAAGCATTTTAACAGAATTATGTCCCTTTTTTGACTTAGAATTTATGCTTAAGTTTGCGTACTACCTCAAATATTTTCAAAGTCCATTGACATATGGCTTTGTTACTTTGCACACTTATTCACCATCATGACCCTATCCTGCAGACAGGAGGAGGTAACTCTATCAAGCATTTTGGCAGAATTATGCCCCTTTTTCGACATAGAATATAATTATGTTAAAGTTTGCATTCCACCTCAAATATTTTCAAAGTCAATTGACATATGGCTTTGAAACTTTTCAGGCTTGTTCACCATTCACCATCATGTCCCCAACCTGAAGACATGAGATGGTAATAGAAAATTTTTTAGATGGTATAAGACAATTTTTAAGTTTGTTTTTTTCGGTTGCCATGCTCTTGTTGCCATGCCTTTTGTTTATTGTTTCAAATATGTCTGCCTTATTTAATAACAAGGGTATTTTGATACCCATTTACCAGAAAACATAAAACATTTATTCAAGTATGCAAGAGTTTTAGTCATGATGTCACAGTTAAATCTACACGTCAGTATTCTGCCGCCTGTAATATTTTATGTTTCATGGAAATCAGTTCATCACATATATTATAATATACATTTAACAATATGTGTTATTTCTCGTTTCAGTGGCCTAATGGATCAAAATTTCCGATTCTTTGTTGTGCAGAATCTCCCATGACATTTTACATGGAGCATTGTGTGATGATTATAGATCAATTTGTAGATTTGTATTTGAAAAACTTCCCATTGTCTTGGTAAGACTTTACAAATATCTTTATGATGGACAGCCTAATAAACTGTATAATTATGTAAATTAACATAATTATGCCCCCTTAGTAGAAGTGGGGATATATTGCACTAAGTGACTAATTGCATCACATTTGTCGGTCGGCAGTTGGTTCTTCTGTCAGTCAGTCTGAAAACAAAACTGTGTCCAGTCAATAACTTAATAACAGCAAACTTACTTTATGAACTTCAAACTTGTGATGGAGGTTTAAAAGCCTAAGAACATAAAATTTGAATTTCCATACATAAATGAGCTGGGGCATTTTAAACTGAAATTTATGCAAAGATAGTCAAGATATATACTTTTATATTTTTACAATTTGAATAATAATTATGGAAAAACAAAGTGCGCAAATGATCTGAAATTTTGCACAAAGATTTGTGGTCTAAACCTACTTCAATGGAACATTTATCTGGAAATAATATTTTCAGTTCCATCATTTCAAAAAACCCCAATGGAGTCCCTTTAAGTTTTGATAAATATTTCAAAGAATTATCTTTTTGTTATATAAATGGTATCTATTTAAATTTAGACTTAATAAAATTGTTCTTTGTCATTATTCCTACATGTATAAACAAGGTCCATAACTCCAACACTTTATTTTAAGAGAAATAATCTTCTTTGAACTTTAGATTTATTTTTAAATTTCTTGCTCTTATATCACTTTTGTACTGAAGGGAAAATGACTCAGATTGTTGCATTTTTAGTTAGAACATAGAAATAAAATGTATGTTGAACTTCTATATATGACATGGTGTCATGCAAATTATGTGATGCAAATATATTGAACATATATTTTATCATTTCTTGATACCTATACAAAAATGTGTTTGTATCATAATTAATTTTTTTCATAGTTTTGTCTTCCTAAATTACACATAGATTTATTTAGTAGAGTGTGTTGTCTCCTGTGCCAGCTCTTGTTATTATCAATGCTATAAAATATGTAAATTAACCCATCAAGTAACAACGGTTACTACAGCCGGTATTGTTTTAGACGTGCCCATTTATATGTTAATTATATTCTTTGTTAATTTTAGCATTTCTAAACCTTTTATTGATGATTATAGGCAAAAGTATTGATTTTATTTCAATTCTGTATTGGTAATTGATTGACAGAAAAATATCAACTATACATTAAATGGAGGATATTGAATGAGTGTAGGTTTACTACTAAATTTATTGAACCAGTTGAATAAAATCATATTATGTGAGCCTCTAGCGAGCATCCATTATTGTTTTATTCAACAAGTTCAATAAATTTTGTATTGAATCCACACGAATGTAGTATTCTATTTATCACAATATATAAAATAAAGAAATGTTAAACTGTTAAAAGAGTCATTTTTCATTGAGGCGCCTTTTAGTGTAACACTAACATAAATAGGCTTTTAAATGCTTATGTTAAAGATTATAGCGCAAATTACATCATGTCAAAGTGTTATTACACTATAGTGTGTTATAATCCTTTTTTTTCATTAAATGGCTTTATTAAACTCCTGTGCCGCTTTTTAATGTAATAATTTATTATATGTCAAAGAATACAATCGGTCGCAAATCCAAATTATATGTGATGTGTTTACAGTCTTTACTTAGATTACAATGATATTTCTTTTTTATTTGCAATACAAGAGGTCAGTGAATCTACTTGAATACTCTCCGGTTTGGTTCTTTAACTCTAAGCCTCCTGGGCGATAACATATTCTATACCCATGTTTACTCAATGCAGACCACGATCAGCCAGCATATACATGAATATTTTAAAGTTTTCCCTAATATGGTGAATGGTTCCGTCCAGACTGAATGATTGACAAGTCTATTTAAGTCATTTGGATTGGTTAGCTTGAAAATTGACAGGAAAAAATCAGTATATTCAAAACACAAAAATATTATTATACTGTTAGAATAGGAAAATCCTACTACATGATCTTATAATTATGACTTCTTGCTTTCCTTTTCAGAATTTCAGCAATAATAAACCTACAGAGACAATGAGGACAATCACAACTGTTCGGCTTTTTATCCATCAATTCCGGATGATTATCAGTGGGATGTTCTGAATGACAAAGAAAGATGTTCAAGTTCTTCAATAGTTCGATATTATGATTTCACACCTAATACATGGCTGTATAGTGACAGATGTGGATTTAATTTGTGATTAACAGCAGCAGAAAAATCCCCCAACCATCATTACTTGCCAATGCAATGAAAAACATTCTGGTTCCTGGCTGAATGGAAACAAAATAGAATTTTTTTGCATCAAACAGATATCTGTTTTGTACAATTAGAATTTGAATCTCAAAGGACAATTACATCAAGACCACTGTCAAATATTTCAGTATTCCTTTAAATAAACTTTTATGTTAAAAAGATCATTGAAATAATTGGATTTAATTAGATATACAGTACATGTATAAGTCTGTTTCTGCAATTTAAGACTGATATTATATATCAGGAATTGTTAAATTATTTTTTATTGAAGGCCTGTTACACTTTAGAATTTCTATCAGTTTTATTTCATTTTTTCAATACTTTTTAGCTCACCTGAGCATGCTCAGGGTGAGCTTTTAGGATCGATGATTGTCCGTCGTCCGTCCGTCCGTCGTCCGTTTACATTTAGTTGTTAACACTCTAGCGGTCGCATTTTTGCCTCAATCATCATCAAACTTGGTCAGGATGCTTATCTAGTTGATAGCTCAGATGAGTTTGAACATGGGTCATCTCGGATGAGAAACTAGGTCACAAGAGCTAAAAATAGAAAAACCTTGTTAACACTCTAGCTGTCACATTTTTGCATCAATTGTCATCAAACTTGGTCAGGATGCTTATCTAGTTGATAGCTCGGATGAGTTCGAACATGGGTTATCTCGGATGAAAAACTAGGTCACAAGAGCTAAAAATAGAAAAACCTTGTTAACACTTCAGCGGTCACATTTTTGCATCAATCATCATCAAACTTGGTCAGGATGCTTATCTAGTTGATAGCTCGGATGAGTTCAAACATGGGTCATCTCGGATGAAAAAGTAGGTCACAAGAGCTAAAAATAGAAAAACCTTGTTAACACTCTAGCTGTCACATTTTTTCATCTATCATCATCAAACTTGGTCAGGATGCTTATCTAGTTGATAGCTCGGATGAGTTCGAACATGGGTTATCTCGGATGAAAAACTAGGTCACAAGAGCTAAAAATAGAAAAACCTTGTTAACACTTCAGCGGTCACATTTTTGCATCAATCATCATCAAACTTGGTCAGGATGCTTATCTAGTTGATAGCTCGGATGAGTTCAAACATGGGTCATCTCGGATGAAAAAGTAGGTCACCGGAACTAAAAATAGAAAAACCTTGTTAACACTCTAGCGGTCACATTTTTGCATCAATTGTCATCAAACTTGGTCAGAAAACTTGTCTAGGTCATTGCTGGGAATAAATCGAACATGTGTCATCTCGGATGAAAAACTAGGTCACAGGAGCTCAAAATAGAAAAACCTTGTTAACACTCTAGTGGCTACTGTTGTAATCCAAATGTTCTGTTAATTGGTTTGTTTTGATGATTTCTAAGTCAAGATCGAACATGCGTTATCTTGGATGAAAAACTATGTCACACTGCCAAAATATGGAAAAACCTTGTTAACATTATAGTGGTCACATTTTTGACTCAATTATCATCAAACTTGGTCAGGATGCTTGTCTAAGTAATTGCTTGGATGAGTTTGAAATTGCATGTGAAACTAGGTCACCGGAGCTAAAAATAGAAAAATCTTGTTAACACTCTAGTTGCTGCTGTTTTGATCCAAGTATCCTGGAAATTGGTCTGAAAGTTTTGTTTTGATGATTTCTAGGTCAAGTTTTGAATATGTGTCACCTGGGTAAAAAACTAGGTCGCACTGCTCAAATATGGATAATCCTTGTTAACACTGTAGTGGTCACATTTTTTGACTCACCTGTCATGAGACTTGGTCAGAATGCTTGTCTAGGTAATTGTTTGGATGAGTTTGATAAGTCAGGTGAGCGATCTAGGGCCATCATGGCCCTCTTGTTATTTTGTTATTGTGCTACAGTTTCCAAAAATAAATTATTTTGCCAATTATACATTAATTTCTCTAATGCTGATTTGTTATGTTGGCAATTGCTATAATTTAAGTTAATTAATATTAGTATGGAAGTCAAAATTCAGTGCTATATTTTTCACTTGTTAAACATCTAACATGCCCTTAAACCATTATCAAAACATTTTTGTTAGAAAATGCTTGAACTTGCTTGAATTTGCTAGAGACTATCTATTTTCTTAGGTATAATGTGCCTTGTTTAGTATAGCGTATTGTTTGTTAGTCAGCATTAAGGGAATTTCGTCGCTCTGGTCTGGCACAACCAAGTGACAGATTTAGTATTGACAAATTTAGTATCGGTTTAAAGGCTGTAGTTGTTGTCAGCATAAGGAAACTACATTAAATTTTGTTCTGTGTTGATAAAATGAACTTAAATTCAAAATATACCACTATATTTGTAACACAAAAAATTACCATATTATATAGAGGATATTTGTTTGTTTTGCATGTAAAATTGAAATATATTTCACTGAGTTAACAACAGTTGCAATATTTTCATGAGTGGCGTAAAAGCCACGAGTGAAAATATAATAGCTGGTGTTCACGAATGAAATATATTTCAATCTTATATGTAAAACAAATAATTTTTTTTTCATGCTTTTTAAGTGATGTTTAGTATTTTTTACTGATTTTGCCACATAATGTTGCACATTCTCCTTTATGACGTCATAATATCATGACGTCACATCATCAATTTTGAAATATAGTTCTGTTAAATTTCTCTAATTTTGTTACATTTTTAAAAAGATGTACAACTTCCTTTTCCAAAAGAAGCAAAATTACGTATGAGTTACTGCATTTATTTTTGCCCCTTATTCCAGTTAGTTATAATATTCTTTTCATCCGCATTCAAATATAGTCCGGCTTCAGTGAAAATTATATTTTATAAATTTCACTTGTGGTTTATCAGAATACAATTATCTGATATATTACAGTAAACTCTGGAAAGCATGAAATAAAAAAAAAACAATATATAATTTAAACCACGTATTCTAGTATTATATGTATTACAAATGTATAGTTTTGTAAATAGTTTTTGAAGTGTGTATGATATTTACATATTTTGTAACAGTTTCGCTCTTCTTTTTAATAATTCAGTTTTCTGAACAAATGTTCACATAACATTTTTTTTTATTTTGGCGATACACGGAAATTATGTATATGAAGATACATTATGATTCTGACAGGTTAAATTGCCCAATATTACAAACTTTAAGTATGTAACCAAAGTCACAAGGTGTTGGTTATATAACGAGCAACATTTCATGCATGGCCATATATAACATTTCATAAGTCTTTATAACCAAATTTTGATATTGTTCTCATGCTCTCTTTGCTTCGAAACATTAAATGATAATTTGCAGTGTATATTCTTAGTTATAAAGATTCTGAATTTGTTATGGCTGTTGGCATATATAACCCGAGCTGCTAGGTGAGGATTATATTGCTTACAACTGTTTATATATGGCCATATTACCTGTGAAGAATCTGATAATGAATTTACAATGGAGCAAAATTCCTTCATGACAGAAAAATAAAGAATTTATAAATTGACAGAGAGGTGTATATATAATTTATAAATGTCATGATTAACCCATGAAAAGTGTATGATTTATCTTATTTGTAAATAATCATTGTTTGGAGTGATATCACTTTAAAGCTGCATGCCTCATAGATAAGGACTACGATAGAATATTGTACATTTTGGAGATAAATTTGATAACAATGTTGGCAGGCTTGAGTATTTTAATGACAATACAGAGTACACTTCTGAACAATAGCATTCGCAATATCAAATTGCACATTTTTTCTAAACTGTCAATATATATTTATAATGGATAGATATGATACGAATCATCTAAGCATGCTTTCAAACAGCATGCCTCCTGATTCTGTGAAAATTTGGAAGATGTATTGAAAAGTAAAATATTTTGAAGTGAAAAAAGAAAGTAATTGAATACATTGCAAACGATGCTTACAATTTCATATAATTCACATAAATTACCAAAAAGAAGTGAAAATATGTTGTTTATATACCCCTTTCTATGTTAGTATAGGGATGTTTTCATTATTTAAATTAGTCATTAATCTTACAAAACATGTAAATTGTATAATTATTAATTGAATCATAAATCTTTGTACTTTTCTTAAAATATGAGTACTTTTTTCTCAAGTTTGATTTTATTGAACTATTTAAGCTCATCTGGAGGCATGCAGCTTATAAGAGCTGAATGGATTTTTTTTTATTGGAATTTGTGTATATAGATATGCTTTTTGTATAAATTTCTCTTAATATTTGTATAGAATGTAAAATAATAAAAGGAAATTTTTGGGTTTAAGTGAAATATTTAATATACGGTATTTTCACGAAATATGATGAGCGGTTCGAATTCAATACACAATTTATCACAGCCATAACTGTCTTGAAAAGCCAAAAACATTTCCAGAACAGAACATTTAATTCATGCAATCATTTTAACTAATAAGAAGTATGTGAGAGTAAGACAAACATAAATTAATATTTGCATTATTCTTCGTTTTTACGAATAAGTTGTTATTATGACTTTCTCCAGTAAAGTCATAATTATATTGTGATAATGTTTTGTATGTTAACATATGCACTATTCGTTATCTTGTAAATATGCTGTATTATGTCATCATGGGCTTATAAGCCATATTTGATTGAAATAAATTGTCTGTCTGTCCTTCTTTGTATAATACAAAATGAATTTGAGATACATAAATTTTTAAAAAGGAGAAGTTTAGAGGGCAAGAATGAAAATTTATCAATTGCATTTATTTCTAATTCACTTTGAAATTTGTCATGCTTAACCATTTTGTTATAATTTTCATGTTTTTAGCTCACCTGAGCTTATGCTCAGGGTGAGCTATTAGGATCACTCTTCGTCCGTCGTCTGTCGTCAGTTGTCCGTTCACACTTTTAAAACGACATCTCCTCTGAAACCATAAGGCAGATCATAATGAAACTTCACAGGGATGTTCCTTGTGTGAAGCTTTAACAAAGTTGTTCAAAGAATTCCATTCCATGCAGAACTCTGGTTACCGTGGCAACCGAAAGAAAAAACTTAAAATATCTTCTTTTAGAAAACCGCAAGAGCTAAAGCTTAAATATTAAGCATGAAACATCACCTAGTCAGTGTCTACCAAATCAATAACCTCCTGGGGTCAAAATTGTCCATGTCCCGGGGGTCATTGATTTTCCTTATTTGTATATAGTAAAAACTTAAAAAATCTTCTTTTAAAAACCCCAAATAGCTAGAGCCTAAATATGAAGCATGAAACATCTTCTAGTGGGTGTCTACCAAAGTTTGTTCAAATAAATGCCCTGGGGTCAAATTGGCCCTGTCCCAGGGGGCATTGAATTTCCTTATTTGTATATAGTAAAAACTTAAAATATCTTCTTTTAGAAAACCGCAAGAGCTTGAGCTTAAATATTTGGCATGAAACATCAACTAGTCAGTGTCTACCAAATTAATGCCCTGGGGTCAAAATTGACCGCGGCCCCAGGGGGTTTATTGATTTTCATTATTTTGTATAGAGTAAAAACTCTTAAAAAAATCTTTGCCTTTAAAAAAACAAAAAGAGCTAGAGTTTTTTATACTAAGTATGAAATATTTTCTAAGTTAGCCTTGGGGTCAAAATTGGCCCCTCCCGGATGGTCATTGTTTTTTCCTATATGATATAGTAAAAACTAAAAAAATATCTTCTTATAAAAACCCAAAAGAGCTAGAGCTTTAGATATTTATCATGAAACATCTTCTTATGGCTGTCTACCAAGTTTGTTCAAAATAAAAGTCCCTGGTTTAAAATTGGCATTTGCCCAGGGGTCTATATACAGGTGAGCGATTTTCAGGGCCATCAATGCCCTCTTGTATTGTTGTACTGTTTCTCTTTTGCATTATTTTCATCCAGACCTTAATTCATCAAAGCTTAAAAGTTAAAGTTACTAATTAAAACGATTGAATGATTATGCAGTTGACAAGAAATGTCAACTTTCCATTTTATGATATGAATACTTTATTTTTTTCTTAACCCAATAACTCAAAACATTGAAATAATAACGGCTTGAAATTTTATGGATGAATATCTCTCATACTAGTAAAAATAGCGAAAAAACGGAATCCTTAAAGAACGCCCAAAAAATCAAAATTGATAAAAATATGTTATAGACTCAGAGCTTTTTAAGATTAAAACCCTTTCAATATATTGGAATGTTAATGCACCAGTTTTTTCTAAATTTATGTTTCCGAGTGGCGCTGCTATCACTGCCTTTGTATATTTTTATCCTGCTACTGTCTTATGATATTATCAGCTGGAAAAAGCCTTGCCGATAACCTTATCTATTTCCAGTCAGTATGTCACATGGTTAGGCAATGCGTATGAATACCAACTATTTCCCGGACTACTTTCTTTCATACTTCTCCATGCTCTGATTTTGTCAAATAAAAGATTATTACGTCTTATTTTAGTTATGTTTCCTGTCATAAATGAATAATAAACATTATTACATGTACATGTGTTGTTTTATTTAATATTTTACCCTTTCAAGCCTGATAGCTTTACATTTATATCTTCAAGAATGAATTTTGCGTGCTGGGTATCGCAACTATTTTGCAATGCACAATGGGATACTTTCATCATCTGCAATAGTAAAAATGTCAGATTACCTCAGTCAAACAACTTTTGACATTATATGGAATGATTTATTTCCTTGAAATGATACTGATGACTGTAATCAAACAGAAAATGTTGTTAAAATATCTAGAGAAGAATTTTTTCAAAGGTATGGGGTAGATATATCTGCCTTTGATGATGATTTTGTTGAATCGTATGATGAAAAAACTCCATTGAATGTAGAGTTTGATACAGTAGAGTTACCTGTCCCCCAGAGTGACACTACAGTGACAAACAATGATATCCCCTCTGTAGCAGAAAAACCAATGAGCTTGTCAGTCTCTCTGAGAGTGATGTATTGCAATTAATCAAAGATTCCGAAAACAAGCAAAGTATTAAGAAGACCAATCTTTATGTTATTAAATTCACCAGATTTTTAAAGGGGGGAAAATGAAACAAGAGATTTACAAAATATACCACCTAAGGAAATGTATTTGGTAAATTTCATTTTGTCAGTGAGAAAAAAATGACGGCCAAGAATATGAGCCAACAACTGTTCCCAAACATTATTTTAAGCATTGACCGAAAACTGAAGGAAATGAATTACCCGGGGATGAAAATAATGCAAGAATCTGGAACAAAATTCTTTAACATGACCAGAAATGCTCTTAAAGCTAAACAAAAGTCACTTAAGAAAATGGGAAAGGGCAACAAACCTAATGCATGCAGCCCAATCAGTGATAATGACATCAATATTTTGTATGAAAAACATGTATTAGGCAGCAGAACACCACAAAGTTTATTAAACACAGTGTGGTATAATAATGTTGTTCATCTTGGATTAGAGGGACTACAGAGTGTAGAACAGTATGGTTAGTCCATGCTTCTTTTCCCCCCTTTAGACTTTTTCTTCATTTGATTTAGTATTTCTATAAGACTATATATTTATTCTTGCATAATATACTAAAAAATTAAAGCATTAGGTCTATTCATTAAACAGGAAGTAGTATGTCCCTGCTGAGATTTGAATAACTCAGAACTCTTTCCTTTAGTTGGAAAGTGTTTTTCATTAAAACTACAAGAACATATTACTTTACTGGCTTACTTCACCTTTAAACATTGACATTAAAAATAATGAGTTCAAACAAATCTAATATTATGCAAAGATTCTGGCTAGTGTAATATTTTATTTAACAAGTTTCAAAATAAATATTGTAATGAAACTACTGTACTGTACACGAATACAATTTAGAAACATAAATACCCCAAGCAGTGATTTTATCGCTAAATAAAATCATTGTTAGTAATTCATGTTCGAGGAATTATTATAATCATAATGATATGCATCCAATCAACAAAAAGTTATGTTATCACCAATTTGGATATATTGATTTGGTTATATTATTTCGATTCTAACACAATATCAACAAATAAAATTGTCATACCTGATAAAATAAGCTAAATTGCGCCTGATTTGTTTCAATTCTAATTTTATTGAGTCAAATTTTTAGTGGTTACATCACATGTCTAATGGTTCTGTCACATGTCTAAATATACATGTAGTACATCAACAGTTATTTTATTGCATAATAATACACATAATAACACACACTTTTTGGACATTTCAGTCATTCTATGTTCAGTAGCCTAATGCGGGCTGTCTTAGAATATTCTATTTGTCACATATCCAAATGAAATGTGTTTACAGTAAAATGAATCATCTTTTCATTGACCCAATGCCACAAACGCAGCACATGGTCTTTTAGAATGGATATTAATTCAAAATTTTATCGTGCAAATAAAAAACTTTAAAGCACTGGTAAATACAAAAATTCAGCAATGATATGGAATTTGACTGATTTATAAATAATTTAATTTACAGTTGGGGTGATATTTCACTACACACAGCAGCAAGTGGGTGTGAATTTCTACAATACAATGAGCGCCAGACCAAAACAAGTATTGAACATGTACTGAAATACATGTATAATTATGTTAGTGATGTAATGAAATTTTAGTAAATAACTGCACTAAAGGATAAAATAGAGTTATTAGGACCAAACACAAATTACTTTTAACACCATGTGATAAATATACTAGGTTAAAAATGCCTGCAATGACCTTGACCTTTGACCTAGGTTTTGCACAGTTCACATAATGTTTTTATTACGATCACATGTAAAGCAAAGCATGATACAGTACAAAATATAAGTATATATATCCACACACATTTGGACCAATCAGAGTAAAACTGAAATAGGAATGTCAGATAAAATCCCCTTCGGACAAAATCTCCTCCATGTATATCTGGACATAATCATAATCCCCTCTATAGGTAGACATAATCCCCTTCATGTGAAATTTTGTAGCAGACAAAATCTCCTCAATAAAATTGCTACCTAGGACAAAATCGCCCTCGGATGAATTTTCTGTTTATAAAGTGGGTATGAGAGCGACATACTGCATTATGCT